AAACTTAAATTTAGATGAGAAAGAAATTGAGTTGATGGAAGAAGTAAATTATAATTTAGTTGAAAAAGAAAAGGGATCAGAAGATGAATGTGATGAAGATGATGATTCTAGAGTATTTGTGTTAGATGAATCAGCTCTGGAAACTGCAAAAACTATATTTGGTTTACAGAATCTTCAAGATATACAAGATGGCGAAGGGGAAAGTGATGAGGAGGAAAGTGATGAGGAGGGAAGTGATGAGGATTTTCATATACTCAATAATAGTGGTGATGAAGGAGACTTTGTTATACCTGATGCTAATCCAACAAAGCTATCACCATGTGTTATAATTGATAATTACAACTCAGAAGGGAAGATTTCTCAATGTTGTTCAACAGAAAAATTAGTACCATTAGCACGGCTCTTTGGAACATGGGAAGTTGATGTATCTGCAGGTTCTGATTATGATTTATATGAATATGGAGTTTGTACCAGCCATTTTAATTTTGATCTTAAACAACTTCACAATCCTAATTCTACAAAAAAAAATATTAATAATAGTAAAATTCATAAAAAAAAATGTCTCATGTGTAATAAAATCAAGTATTTTTTTGCTAGAGGTAATAATTGTACTCAACATACCTGGAATATTGTTGGAAGAAATATACAAGTTCCATGTCTTGGCCTAAAATCCTGTTCAGCATTCATGGAAATTCATAATGTTGCTTCCAATACTTCAAATGAACAACGTGTACGTAATATTTGCACAAAATGTTTTGAGTCTTGCGGTGGACATTTACATATACGTGGAGGATCAGGAAACAAATCCAATTCTAAATTATGTGCTAATAATGGAATGCATGAAGATGATGCAACTTTGGTATTAGATTTATTTGCAAATTGGATCTCAAAAGTTGCTAATTCTGGAAATGATGATGAAAAAAAGAGGTTAATATGGTATTTAATACCTCTATTAGAAACAACAACAAAAAGTACTGATAATAATATATCTAAAATGATACCTAATCCTTTACTCATAAAAACTGCCATGAAATTAAATAGCTTTGACTCTAGCCTGCAAACAGAACAACGAAATCCAAAAGTTGAAGACTACAAAAAGTTTGGTGAGGAATTAGGTATTTCCATTTTGAATTCACGTAAAGCACTTGAGCAGAATCTTTATATCTTAGAGAATCCTACCAACTTGAATGAGTATTACGATGCTTTTCCAAAAACTTTAACCAAATTTTTTGATGGCCTAGTTGGTTCTATAAAACAAAAAAAGCATCAGATCAATGAAAGAAAGAGAAGGCAGAATGGAAAATTGTCAAAAATCTTTGATACCTCATCAGTTATGAAGATTACAACCTTTTTTGTCTCAATTATCTTCACAATGGCTTTTCCAAAATGGAAAATTTGGTTTACCCATGTAATGGCTTCCCTTTGTCGTAGACCAAAAATGATTACAACACTACAATCTATACTTCATAGAGTTCATGCTGTTTCTTATTCACAAGGTTATGAAATAGAATTACAAAAAACCAGAATGAAAAATGCCAAACCTGAATCAAAACTTATTGAGAGTCCTTATACTTTGAATATATGTGCTATTGACAACATTGATTTTAAAGATATTACCTTTCGTTATAGTAATATTTATGATGCAACCAGAAACTCTGCACATGCTACTCTCAGAATGGTCTTCCAATTTCAGCTTCCTTTACCTGTTGCTACATTTTTGCAAAATTACCAACAAGATACTTTGGAATTGAAGTTATTTGGAACATCAACTTTTACTGAAGAGTGGGAAAATAAAGTTGGTATGATTTTTCAAAACTTTCTTAAAACTTGTGGAAATGATTTTGATTTTCAGGATATCCATAGAGAGATTGCCTCAAAAGTTGAATTGGGTTGCAAAATTCCACCTCCAAATGTTGTGATTCTTAAGCCAGGTGAAGCACCTAAAAATGATAAAGCAGTCTTTGATTCAATAGATATGTATATTGATGATCTTAAACAAAATGTTATAGACTTAGTTTGTGATGAATCAATCTTCAGGAGAACAAGAAATTATTCCAATGAAAACTTAACTGGTAGATTTATTTTAGGCCAGTGGCACACGTCCAAAGCCATGTGTAATGCTTTAATAACTGCTTTTAGTGGATATGGTTTTTACAACATAGCTGCTGCACTTGGTGTTCGTTTTTTGGATGCACTTGTAGATAATGTTGATTATAGAGCCACAAGTTCTGTTTTGGAACTTATTTGGGCTGCAGTTGGAATATCTATTTATAAATATGTGATGAGTAAAAATATAACAATCAGTGATATTCCCAATGGAAATAATAATGTTTTAAAAGTATGGTTATTGTATTTCCGCTTATCTGGATTTTGGAAAGCCCATCAATTAGGGATACGTATGGGAAATTTTGAGATGCAAATAAATAATTTAGCTGCATTTGCTCCACTATTTCCAATATCTGGGAAATCCAACTATGCTCAATCAGTTGTGTTTTTCCTAGAGTCAGTTCAAAGAAATATTAGACAGAAAGAATTATTGAAACATGTATGTTCAGTAAACTTAACAAGAGAAGGTCATTATTTTGCTTTTGATGAAGCACTTGAATATTATGGTGTTAAGTTCATAAAACAAAATCTTACCGGTTGGCCTACAGATTCTGATAATCTCATGTTGCAAATTCAATCAGTCCAAACTGAACAAGAACGCCTGGAGCCACTTATTTCAGAATTTATTCAAAAAAACACCATTCACAAAAGAGAGCGAGCAAAAATACAATGAAGAGATGTTTTATGGTCTGTTGTTGATGAATTAACCAAGGCCTTCGATCTTCCAGATCCTAAAGAACATAATTTTTTTAAATATACAAAAGAAATGAATGATGATGGCTTTAATAATATGTTCACATGTTATGAAAAAGGCCTAAAACGCCTTAATG